ACCCCAGCCTGCTGGGGGAACAGCAGTGAGGCTTTCCCTGCTGGTGCCACCTGGGGTGCCCTGAGGGGCAACAGCTGCTTGTGCACCACACTGCCTCTGGGAGCCCTCTAGCAACACCACAGCCCAGTATCAGCCCTGCCTGCAAGGAGCTGGCTCTGCTAGACAGGAGATTGGCATCCACCTCCCTGCACTGCACTGTGGTATCTGCCATGGGCCCTGCTGCTTCCAGGCACTGCCCAGGGGAAGGGCTGCACCAGCTGCTGGAGAAGCCCTAGAAGTGGTAGGACTGGCGCTGTGGGGCTGGGGAAGCATCCAGACGAGCCTGGAGGCTTTTCCCCTGTAGGACCTGCCCATCCTGCCTTCTGCTCAGTGGTGCAGCCAGCTGCATTTGAGGCAGGGAGGGCTGCTCTGTAGGACCGCCACGCAGAGTGGGGCTCCTCCAGAAGCCAGGGGAGGAGGCTGCCTGTCTCCCCAGGAGGTCGGGGGGTGCAGCCAGAAGGAGGGCCACGAAGGGACTGTCCCCCACCATCACCCCTTGCCTCTGAAGAGCTGGTGTAAACCAAGATACGCTTCTCTATTGCATTGTGCCCGGTGCTGACAAGGTGCTGTTTGGGTTGCCATAAACACAAAGCCAGTGCAGTGGACAGGCAAGGAGCCCCCCAGTGCTGAAAGGGGAAGCACTTCTAAACATTTAGTTTTCTGTTTAGAAACAATAGCCTGTAGGGTTGTGCTACTTCTGATAGCAATATATTATAGGAGCAGTTCCTGCTACTGGTAGCACAGTCTTACAAGGGAGCAGCTCTCTACAATCCACTGGCAAATGGGAGCAGTGGAGGTGAGAAGCCAGTTAAGTGTACCCCCTCGTGCCCAGACCCCTGCACCCCAATCCTTCTCGTTCACCCCCTTTCCCCCACCAGGACCCTGCACCCCCAGCTTGATCCTTCTCCTTTCTGGCTACATGCTGCACCCTCCCTCCTGGCCAGACACCTACCCCCACCCTGCTCCTGCATCCACTATTGCTTCCGTACCCTCTCTCCTGAACACATGCTGCACCCTCCCTTGCTCTTGCTCCCTTCCCCCAGTCAGACACCCTCCTCCCAGCCTGCTTCTGCACCCTACCTCCACCCTCACCCCCTTCTGCCCAGACCCTGCACTCCCATCCCTATCCCACTCACTGGCAGCCATGTCCCGCACACTGAATCCCTCATTTTTGTCCCCAGCCTAGTGACTAAGGGAGCCCATAAAACCCACTAAGTCCAGAAAAGTAAATCTGGCCTATGGGAAGCCCTGAACCTCAGTCCTCCCTGTCTCTTCCCCTTGTCCCATGGGACTGGAGCGCCAGAGGAGTGAGGCTTCTCAGTTGGGGGAGGTTTGGAGCAGTTTTTTTGCTTCTCACTTTTGTGTGGTCCCAACTGATTTTTTTTGTGTGTGGGTCAGTGTCCCCCTGGCCCAAAAAAGGCTCCCCACCCCCGCCATAAAGAAAACATTGAAACCTTTTTTTGTTGGACATAAATTAATATTTTACTTTATTTAAAATGAAGTCTGATAAACTAACATGAGAGAGTTAAAATGCTTAATCTGTTTAATAATTTACTTTAAACCATTCTCCCTAGCTGCAGCACTAGCAAAAGGGCTCCGATGTAATTATGTAATTAACTGAGTTTCCATTAGCAACTGGCGGTCTGCGGAAAGATTTGCGTTGAGCCAGGTGGGCCACGCGCCAAAAAGTTTGAGAACCACTGATTTACACCCACTCCACGGCGTCTTTGTGGCCCCAGCAACTGAGGAAACCTGTATTATCATTGTAGGTTGCTTTCTGTGGAGCGGAGCTGTGTTCTCCAGCAGCTGTAAAGAGTTTCCCATGTCCATGTAGTTTAGCCCTTCATAAGACTTCTTGAATCAACACAATTTAGAGCAAGATGCTCTTGTGTATGGCAATAATGTTCTGGCTGAAGCTTCTCTCCCTTGCCCTTGTTCCTGTGTTTTCATGCATGCCCTGCATGGAAGGCTTTTGCAGCCCTTCTAACTTCTGAAGATCCTGGCACTTTTTGTTCTGCGCTCTGGCCTGGTGGGAACCCGAGAAGGGTTGATGTGGCGAAAGAGCTGATCCATTTGGCTTTTGTAACCTCTCCCCGTCTGCTTTCCCAGAGAGAATCACAGCGAGATAGAGCGCAGACGTAGGAACAAGATGACTGCCTACATCACGGAGCTGTCCGACATGGTGCCCACCTGCAGTGCCCTGGCTCGCAAGCCAGACAAGCTGACTATCTTGCGCATGGCTGTCTCTCACATGAAGTCCTTGCGGGGCACCGGCAACACCTCTGCAGATGGCACCTACAAACCCTCCTTTCTCACTGATCAGGTGTCTGCTGATTTTGCTTCTCGGGAAAGATTGAAAGAACTCAGTGGGTAGCTCAACCACAGGGCAGTTAATGTTGGGGCAGCCGACGAGCCTAAAGGCAGCTGGTGGGTGGTTGACTGCCTCACGACTGGGTTAATAACATGTCTGTTCTGCCTGCAGGAACTCAAACACTTGATTCTAGAAGCAGCCGATGGCTTTCTGTTCATTGTGTCTTGTGAGACCGGGAGGGTGGTGTACGTCTCCGACTCGGTGACTCCCGTCCTCAACCAGCCGCAGTCCGAATGGTTTGGCAGCACCCTCTATGACCAGGTGCATCCCGATGACGTGGACAAATTGCGGGAGCAACTCTCTACTTCGGAGAATGCTCTGACAGGTAAAGCAACCTGCCATAGGGACTCTGCCGGGCTGCTGGGTTCCTGGATGTGTAGCATGCCCATGGGCCTGGTGTCGGGATGATGCGACGAGGCAAGAATTGGATTGTTAGCCTTCCTGCTAGAGAGCCAAC